TGGTCAGGGGCAACAGACGTCAGGGGGAGAAGCAGTAAGCCAGCCAGATGGGGAAACCCCTACCCTTACCCCACCTCCCTGGCCGTGCTCTCCCAAAGCTTCTCTGCCATTCAGGTGGCAGCCACAAGAATGTGGGAGAAGAAGGAACTGCAGGGGAAGGAACATTGTGTGTGTGTGTGTGTGTGTGTGTTGGTTTTTGTGCCTAGCAAGTTCTTAGCATCTGCAAAACACAGAGAGATGGTCAGTGTGTAAGAGTTCAAAACTTGTCTCTGCCACTTACTGACTATATGAACTTAGGCAAGTTACTTACATTCTAAATACCTCACCTTCCTTGACTGTAAAATAGGGGCAAGTATCCAGATTGTTTCTACCCTGCAAAGTTGTTGAGAGGACTAACTCAGATGATGCATTTGGTGCTCAGCCCAGGGCCTAGTACCCATGAAGTGCTCAAACACCAACTGCTATAATCATTTACGTTTAGTGACAACCCCACCACTGGTCAATTTCAAGACTTCCTTGGGTCCTACAGGTATCAGTGTCAGGGAAAACAGCAACCACACAGTTATCCCGGCCCAAAGTCTGGTTTGTCTAAGACCCAGGGTTAGATTCTTGTGGATGACATGGGAGGTGATGTGGAAGGGGATGAGGGGGAGGCAGGAAGTAGGATCTTCTGGTTTTCAAGCTCTGCTCTGACCATCAGGGCAACCAAGTCCCCTGGGCTTAGACATGAAGGAGTAGAGCTTAGAGGGAGGGAGGAGGAAGCATCCACAGAAGTCAGTGTGTCCTCTTAGGTAAAGAGGGTATCTGTGGGTTATCCTGGAGGGGCTTCTTCTAGCCTCTGTGCCTCACTTTCTTTCCAGGAGAATGAGCCCCAATCTCCTTCTCGAAAGGTGGTGCAAGAGTGAGGACATTGTGTGTGGCGTGAATGAAGGCTGATGGAGACCTCCTGCCCCTGCCCTGCTGTCACAAGGCGGCCAGGTAGCTTGCCACAGACTGGAGCACAGGCTACAGTGAGCAAGGCCAACACAGATCGTGCAGGCGGATCCCATGGCTTGGGCCAAGGCTAGCCCAGCTTGCATCCCATGCCAACTTCCTCCTCCTCCTTGAGCCAATCAATACAAGCACCAGTCTCCAACCAGTCCTTTTCCTTGCCACAGCCCTGCTCTCTGACCTTTTGGGGGCCTTTCTCTTGATTCTGCTCCAGAATGGAGGTAGGGGCCATCACTCCGGGTCTGCTCAATAGCCTCAGAATGGGCTGTCATGGGGCCTATAACCAGAGACAGCTCCTGCTGGCGAGAGCTGGAATGGGGGGCACCAGATAAAGGCCTTCCAGGCTGAAGATAAATGGCTGCCTGCAGCCTGCTACAGTAACATCAGGCCCCCAAGAAGAGCAAACAAAGGGTGCCCCTGTGACACTCACTGGAAAGATGAAGGCTCATCAGTGGCAGCCAGGCTGGTTCAAAGCCCTAACTTAATTGTCAATTAAGCATGCATAAGGGAGACAAAGCTGTGACAGCCCTGGGCTGCATGCTGGTGTGTGATTGTAAAGCCGGGAGGAGCAACGCTGCAAACAGCTGATTCTGCTGACAGTGTGTTTGTCGGCACCTTGTAACCAATCAGCCGCTGACAGAAGCAAAGTGCTCCTCCTGCCTCTCCTATTGTGCCGGACATTCCAGGACCAGGGTCACACTGTGGTCACTGTGGGCAAGTGGGCCACAACGCAGTAAGCGTGCCTGGGAGGGAAGGAGCTCAGTTAGAAAAGGGATGCTCTCCTCTCCAGGAAGAAGGTTCAAGAAAAGACTTGCCTCAAGGGTGCCTCCAGTCCTCCAGCTCAGATGTGGGTGTTCTGTTCGGAGGAAAGAGAGGGGAGGGAGTGTGGTGCGGGACTAGGACCTGTCTCCCCAGTGCAGTTCCTAGGGTTGCTAGTGCCACCTCTGGATGCTGGTTTCTCCTGGCCCCCACAGAGCCCTTTTGGCATTCTGTGTCTGGTTACATTTTAGGCTTGGTTAGAGGCCATATACCTTGGTTCTGGGATGCGTGATGGGAAGAGCACAGGGAGACTGCAGACCTAAGTCTCCCCTGAGTGCTGGGCACCAGCCTGCTGGCTGCTTAGCCCTGGGGGCATTCCCTAGGAGCCCACCACAGCTCCTGAGAGGAGGATACAGGACCTCAGCATCTTGCACCGCAGGCACCAGCCCAGTGGCCACCTCCATTTCGAGACCCAGGGCCTGGGCACATCTTGCTGCCTCTTAGAAATAATGTCCCAGTGTATGAAATTTAAAAGGAAGTTAGATTTCTGTTACCTGTCAGTTCTTTCCACTGCTGTTTGTTTAGCCCTCTGCAACATTAAGATCAACGGTCACAGTAGTTATGGTTTATTGGGAAAGATGGTGTGTATACATTCTCTCATTTGTCCTCACATGGACCCTATGAGGTAGGTACTATTTCTCTATTTTATACACAGGAAACTCAGACTCAGAGAAGTTATATGAACTGGCCACATTGCAGTTATAGGAATTAACCTGGCTGGTTAGATCCAGGATTCAAAACTAAGTCCAGAGAACCTGGGCCTGGACAAGGACTGTCCTGATGAACCCTGAGTGGAAATTTAGGTGGGAAAGGCAGCCACTGAAAATAAATAGTATCCCATAATTATTGCTATGTAAATAGCTCTCATGAAGCCCCAAAGATAATCTTGATACGCCACACTGGCACAAGTCTTCCCAACCAGACAATAAGCTCCCAAGAGCAGGGCACATTTGGCTTACTCATCCCTAGCAGGGCTCTGCTCTCCATGCGTATCTGTGCTCTGGGCAAGGCCACAGTGGAGAGCCGGCAGGCCTGAGTTCTGGTCCCTGTTCTGCTACCATACTCTGTGTTACCTTGGCAAGTCCTACCTCTTTCTGGGCCTCAGTTTACTTCTTTGAAATTTATTCTACTCCTAACCCTCCATGATTTTTAAGAAGATCAAGACTTCTGGGGACCCCAGGGAATACACTCTCCCAGTGAGACATACATTCTAAGACTCTGCCCAGAGGGCTTCCTGAGCGGTACTTTCTATGCTCTCCCAACACAGGGTCCAGTTCCTGCTCCTGTTCCTCCAGCCCCAACTCTGTCTCCTGTCAGTATACAGAATGCCCAAGCTAACGACCCCATGGTGACCTCACCACAACCCCAGCTTGTCAGAAAGCTGCTGGGCCTTTGTTTGGCTTGCAGGCTCCCTGACTTTGGTGTGGAGATCACAGGTCCCATCACAATAGCCATTGTCTTCTCAATAATGCCCCTGGCCCAGCCACGCCTCCCACAGCTCCCAGATTCAACGCCGTGGATCCCGGCGGGTAGCAAGTGCTCCAGTCCTGCTCAGTGCGGGCTACATCCCATTTGCCACTGCCCTCTGTTTGCTCTGTGCCTGTGTATGGCCTAACCATCTCATCAGAGAACTACATGGGCTGGACTTTTCTTAGGACTGGCTTTTCCCAGGCTCCTGCTCTATCCTTGGCCTCCTCATACTCCTAACCAAGACCACTGTGATTGTGTGTCTGGGGCCGGGCACCAGCAAGCCTTCCCTGGACTCCCTGGCTCACCATCTCCCCTCTGTCCATTCTCAGGGCAGAATGTTTGCAGCGAGGTGTCTCCCCCTCCAAGGCCCATGGCCTGGGCTCCAACCTGGTCACCGAAGTCCGTGTCTACAACTGGTTTGCAAACCGCAGGAAGGAGGAGGCGTTCCGGCAGAAGCTGGCCATGGATGCCTACAGCTCGAACCAGACGCACAGCCTGAACCCTTTGCTCTCCCACGGCTCCCCCCACCACCAGCCCAGCGCCTCTCCTCCAAACAAGCTGTCAGGTAAGCAGGGCCCGGGCCCCATTGCCTTGGCAGCCTGACTACCTGCTTCTCCCCACAGGTCTCATCTGGGTCAGGATTTCTCAGAGGAGGAAATGCTTTGGATGGTCCTAGGGTTGGCCTCCTCTTGTTGCCAGAATATTTTTGTGAAAATAATGTATGTGGCTATGGTCCAGTTTTGTCTGAGCCCTTGTGCGGCCTCCAGGGATCCCCTCACCCCCTCCTGTCTGGTAGTACGGCTGCTGACTCAGCAGGTCAGTGCTGCCATCAGACTAACCAAGAGGTCTGCCTTACTGGTGTGCCAGATGCAAACTGCAAGCAGGGTCACCCCATCCCCTGCCCGTATCCCACCCCAGGGCCCTGTCTGGTCCCTGCAGGAGGAGCCCAGGGGCCTCTGGGGAAGGACCATTCTATTGGCAGTCTCTGCTCCTTGGCTTTGGTGCTGCACCTGAGTTAGGGTGGAGTCAGTCACTTGGAATCTTTGCAGTGATGAGGTGGCCAAAACCGGTTGAGTGCCTACTGTGTGCGGCTATATGCCAGGCCCCAGCCTGGGTTATGATGCCTCTGCTGTGGGGTGTGGCTTGTCAGGATGGGGTCATACATCTTCACTGTGGGAAAGCGTGCCTATACACTGAGCACTGCGTCAGGCATAGGCTGGGGGTGAGCACTCTTCCCCCGGAATTAAGTTCTTCCAGGAAAGCTGGCTTCCCAGAACTGGAGTGCTTACTGAGCATGGTTCGTGCCTGTGTAGATAGAGTATGGCATGGTCTCCTGCCTGCTCTGGGGAAGGGCTTGCAGCACCATTTCTGACTTAGGGGTGGTTCTTAAACCTGTCCCCACCTTGCCTGCTGGTCGCCCTTCTTCTGAGAAAGGCCCAAGACCTGGAAGGGATGTAGTGTTGAGGGGATGGCCAAGCATTTGTTTGGTACTGTGCCGCCCTAGCGTCAACTCTTCAAGGATCTCAGAGCCTGCAACTGTCCAGCATGGAACCGGGGCCAGGATTGGGGGCTCTTCTGGAATCTGCTTCCCAGAAAAGAGGGGTTCGGCCACATGGGGGGAAAGCATGGATTACTCTTGAGGGGCAGAAGAACACTGACCTGATGGTAGACTAACAGCCCCTTTACGGAAATGCAAAGCAGGGCTCAGAGGGCACACGGACTTCGGTGACCAGGTTGGAGCCCAGGCCATGGGCCTTGGAGGGGGAGACACCTCGCTGCAAACATTCTGCCCTGAGAATGGACAGAGGGGAGATGGTGAGCCAGGGAGTCCAGGGAAGGCTTGCTGGTGCCCGGCCCCAGACACACAATCACAGTGGTCTTGGTTAGGAGTATGAGGAGGCCAAGGATAGAGCAGGAGCCTGGGAAAAGCCAGTCCTAAGAAAAGTCCAGCCCATGTAGTTCTCTGATGAGATGGTTAGGGGGAGGCCATACACAGGCACAGAGCAAACTGTGCTACCCTGAAAGTCAGGGGCTTAGGCTGCTCGTGCAGCTCCTGATGACAAGAGAGGGGGCCGAGAGGCAGGGAATTCCACAGGAAAGTCCAGACTGGGCCTCCTGACTCCTTCTTATGTTTTTAGTCTTCACACCCTACAAAAGGTGAAGGAAGTCCTTTGCTAGCTCTGAGTCCCTTCAAGGTACTCGGAAAGGATTCCTGGTTTTTGTGGTTTGGATGCTCTAAAACGGCACCAGGGAAGTGAGATTCCTTATTCAGACGGTAAGAATCTTCTCCAAAGGGTAGGCAAGGTGAGGTAAAAGGAGGACACGCAGAGGTGGTTGGTCTCCTGTCTCATCATTACTGACCAAACCTCAATTACAGGTGTGAGAGAGATTCTCAGTCACTCCTGGATGCTGCGGGCCTCTCATTAGCTGGGGGCCAGAGCACCACCTGAGGCTCTGGGAAGGGCACATGCCTGCTCTCCCTGGCTGCGCCCTTCCACTGCCAGAGCTGGCCCAGCCCAGAGACCAGTGAGAGCCCACGGGTCTTGGCCAGAGTGAAGAACAGATTTATTTTTTAGAAAGTCAATGTTGGAGTCAGGAAGGATAGATAGGGGTGAATAAAAAAGATATGCCAAGGATTTCCAGTAGTTTGCTTTAAAATTACATGCAATTGTTAAAATACAGAAAGAACTCTAACCGGTGTGGCAACTGAGCGGACCTGACCAATTCTTGCTCTCCCACCAACTTGCCTTTTGGACCCAAGGATGTATAACACTGGCTTAGGCCAGAGCCAGTCTGGGGCTAAGGGGCAGTTTTTCCCTGGTCAGTATGGAAGTCAAACACAGGATTCTCATTTCACTGCCATCATATTTTAGACCAGCATTCTCCAGAGTATCTTCCCTGGAATAAAAGTTCAGGTGGGTGTTTTTAAGTATCCCCCAGAAAAAGAAAGAGTCCATGGTTAACAATCATTATAACAAAGCTAAGTGAGTATCTTGACTGCAGGACTTCTTAGAGCCTTCAATATATTAATATATGTCATGACTCGGTAAGAGGAAGTATGCATCTGATGTTTCTCAAACTTATGTATTAATTTATATATAAATTAGGGTTCTGTGGAACATACTTCAGGAAACCCCGACTCAGCCACACTTGTCTAGAGGACCAGTGTCCTATGTCCCAGGACTGAGGGGATGGATCCCGGATCCATGTGCTTGCCTGCCTGCTCAAGGGAGCTCTAGTGGCATTACCTGTTGCACTCCTCTACCAAGGCCTCCCTTTCCTCCTTGCTGGGGTTCTTTTGCCGGTCGTAGGCCTGGTACAAGATTTGCTGGGAAGCGGGCCCCCATTTGAACCGGTTGCGACGCATCTTCTTGTTGGCGGGCTCAGAGCAGGTGTCATCGGACTGCCCAGGCCCCTGGCTCTGCTGACTGAACTCTGGAAAGAGAAACAGCAGCTGATCCTGACTGCTTTTTTCTGTCATATTTCCAGAACTCTGGACTGTCTGGTTGAATTCTGAAAAGAGAAAGGAGTAGATTTGATAGGGTCTGTAGCCTTCACTCAGCAAACAGACAGATAGACAGACAGACAAAACCACCTTTATTCCTCTCCCCTATGCTTTGTGATCTGTGATTGTGGGGGGGGCGAGGCAGGGAGGCTCATGACAGGCCCCTCACTACCTGCCTCTGTTCGCTCCACCAAGGCCTCTTTCCTTTCTTGAAGGAGCTCAAACATGGCTAACCATTGTTTTAAGAGCAATTTTATTTTTCATTGGCTCACTGGCCCTCAGACAGGAAGCAACTCTTGAATCTTGATGTCTTATATATTGATATCAGGGGGATGAGCTCAGACAAGTGTCAGGTCTAAGGAAAACTGCTCACAGGGTACAATTTCCTCTTAAATAAAATATTCAGAGACTGCAAATAGCTCTCCCCATCTCACGTCTCTCCTCATATATATATCCTAGGTATCTGCATTATGATGTGATGCTCTTAGAAAAACCCCAAATCTAAAACCTTTTGACTATCACCTTGCAATAAACACAGCTGGAGCTGTGTCTTGGAAAGAGAAGAAGCTCTTCAGATCTCAGACAATTTCAAAGGTAACATGGTATGTCCACACACCACTTTGATGAGGGAATTAGCCCATGAGGGAAAGGTCTTACAGATATGCCTATACATTTGAAAGACAGCAAATACAAAAGACTGAAATCATAGGACCTTTCTAGGAATGGTGTTTAAAGAATTGGAGATACATAAATGTAGATGGACTGATGCTCTGTCTGTCCAAATCTCAGGGCTCAGGTACAATCTGCTCTTCAGTACATTTTTGTCAAATGAACAAAAGAAAGGTGGCAGTGCACGCAGTGGTGATACCCTAGCCCATGTTGTTTAAACCTGAGTTGATGTTTCCTTCTGGAAGAAGAGAGCTCTCTCGTTGTCTTCCTCACATCTGCGTGAAGCAGGGTTCGTCAGGGTGACTGATTCCATTTTACAGATGACTAAGCATAGAGGCTAAGCACCCTGCTGAGTGAGGACACATAACAGACTCATTTCCTAACTCCTGGTCCCATGCTCTGGACCTTGATGTTTTTCTTTCTTTGAGTCACTCCCACAGGTCTCAGAGGCAACTAGATCCAAAATCTTCCAAGTTCAAAGTCAGGCTACTATTTAGTGCTTGAATCCCCTCCACAACATCCTACCATATCTTCTAGTCTACACACACCCCCAGCAATGGGACACCTACTACCGATCTAAGAAGCCATTTCTACTTCGGTTCATTACAAGGAGCAGTGGGCCCCTAACCAGTGTGGACTTAGTACCCCAGCCGCAGGAGGTGTTGGGCTTTGTTTAACCAGTTGCTGATGGGCCAAGTTAATGAGCTGTCTGCCTGCGGGTGGACTGAATGAGTTGCTGGGGCCTTTGATTTGGGCCCTTCCCACTTTGGAAGATTCTCTGGACATTTAGGACTGTGCTTTCACTGGTTCCCCATAATTCCTTTGGAGACCTGACAGAGTCTCTGCCAAGTTTACTAGCAGGAAGTCACTGCCTCAGTGGGATAATACAGAGCCCTGGCCAAGTGACTAGTTCCCTGGTATCTCAGCTCCCCACCTGTGGAAGCGTGAGCACACTAGACAGTCTTTTAGAACAGCTACCCTAGGCTGGGTAATGCTGAGGAGCAGAATTCCTATGGAGGCCATACTTGTCAAAGCACGTTCACACCTCCTGCATTATTTGGGCTTCATAGCCCAAATAGCAGCCACCTGAGTGCAGCTACTTCATTTAAAGGACAGTCAGAGGAGGAGAGAGCAGTGCCCTGCTCAGTGTGGTCTGTCTACGGGTCTTCTCTCCTCTCTGTGGCCCTGTGGAGTCACCACGAGAAATAGCTAACTAACGCCAGTGTGGGTCATCCCAAGCACCCAGGATCAATGGAGTTCCTTCATTTGTTGTGGGAAGACGTGATAATGAGCATGTTATCACTACGGTTATCATGCACCATTTATACAGTGAGGTATTTTACAAAATCCTCTAAATGTGTCCCTTTATATAATTCTCACTACTTCTCCAGGCAAGAAGTCATCTCCATTTTATAGTTTCTACTTATATTATTTCCTCCATTTTATAGTTCAGACCGGTCAAATGGCTGGCCCAGGGTCCCATGGACTTGGGGGCAGGGGCCAGGATGTGACCCTGGCTTGTTGACGCTACGGCCAGTCAGCAGCCTAGGCATCACCTCTCACTAAAAACAAGACCCAACACTCCACCCACAAAACCATCAAATCCAACTTAGGTGGAGGTAACAAAACCGTTTTGTCTGTGGTGAGTGCGAGACTGTCTCTGTGTGTCTGCTGCCCTTTGAGAGGACAGCACCTACACTGTGTTCACATCCCAGCATGTGGCAGGATTTGCCAGGCTGACTTGCCTTCAGATGCTCAGGAATCTGGTTCTATCTACCTCAGGGCCTCAGTTGTTGAAGAACTAGCCCTCCCCATGTCCTCCAGCCACCACCAACTCACCTCCACTTCCTTCCAGATTAATGGGGGAAGGTGAGGCAGAGACTTTTCATTGCCCATAAAAATTAGCTTGGAGAAATTTATTAGATCAGGAGCCTTGATCAGACAAGGAGATGCTGCTATGCTTATATTATTTGTTGTATTATTTTTAGTTTTGCAAGAAAATTTATCATGTGTCATCCCTTTTTATTCTGCCCTCCCTTTCTACTTCCACCCACCTGCATTCACTTGTGCCCCTTTTTTATTCATCTCCCTTCCTAATTTTTATCCCATGCTTGTGTATCTCATATTCATCTTTTCAAGAACTGGTTCAAGCGGTACATTCTCTAGGAAGCTTTCTGTGGCAGTTTAGCAATTCCTTGGCTGCCCCTTGTGTATACCTTTATAACAGCTCTTAAAAAGCAGATGTCATTATTTACTGAAACATCTCCTCTCCCTCATTAGGTTGTAAGCCCCTGGAGAAAAGGACCTGTAATCTCACAGCCTAGCACAGTGCTTGGCACTAATAGGTACCATAGAATAGTTATAGAATGAAGGAACACTTCTTAAGCTTTATGTTTCATGTGACTTTAAAACAAGACAATAATAAAAAAAAATCTCTTGCAGAGACTTTCATAAAATATCCCTTTTCAAGCAGCTTGAGAAACTTTCTGGGGCTTCAGTCTTTTTAGAAGCTTCCAGCTGGCCTTCCACACCTCCCTCTCCTTTCTGAGGGAACGGTCCATGAACAGAGAGAGGCAGTTTAAGCTGGGATGTTCAGTGAGGCTTGGATCAGAATGAGGGCAGCTCCCAAGGGTTCTCTGCCCTTTGGAGACTGTGGCTCCTGAGAATTCCCTTGGATTTTCCAGGAATTATGAAGAGTTGCATCATGTCAGAAACACAAATTCTTAAAGACCTAGTCACCATGAAGGTGGATCAACCTGGAGCTTAAATTGGGCCTCTTCCTCCAAGCAGGAAAGAGTTCTCACTTTGCTTCTTCTAATTTATCTATTTAATGCTTCCAATAAAAGAGCAAACAACCACAATGTAAGATGGATGCCTAAAATCATTCCTTCCACCTTGAAGGCCTTTCTAGCCCATGGAACACTGAGAAAATAAATACTGAAACAGTCACTTCAGAGCAGTGTGTGATGGAAAACAAGAGTGATTTTTAAAAGTGGCCATCCAGTGAGAGGGAAAAAATCCAACTATGAAAACTAATACCTTGACAAAGACAGAGAAGCCCATGGCCCAGAGGGTAGTATGTGGGAAGAGTGAAAACTTATACAAAATTTTCCTAGGAAAAGGGCCAGATTGAAATAATGAAAGTATAATGTAAAAATATACTTCCCTAAAATAAAAACTGTAGGTCATTCATACTCCTGTCATTCGAACACAGTTGAAACTTCCCTAGACTTTAAAACAAAAATCTCTCAGTACTGTTGAATGGAACAAAGGGATGGAAAGGAAATCTGGGCATGGGTAATGACAGGAATTGACTGATCAGAGTTCTAAATGCAGGCACTTTTCCTGTGGCCTACCTTAGCCAGAAGTAGCTCCTATGTTAGGGTCACCAGTGAGCTCTCAAAGCTCTACTCATTTTGGTAAATGTGAGTCAACATCTGACATTGTTTCAGAACTCAGTGGCGCCCCCTAACCCCAAATAACAGGGTCATGTTCTGAATGTATCTATATATAGAAACATTTTCTATTTTTTTATACTCTCTCCAGAGGGGAGGAAAGTAACAGTAATAGTAATCAATATCATTGACTGTGACGTCTTCCTTAGGAATTGTTATCTATGGCACATATGAAGGGAAGCTGCTTGGCTTAATTTGGGGAAGATATTCCCCTGTTACCTACTTGGTTTCAAAGAGAAGAATATTGGAAGCAGGGACCATGAAATTCAAGGGACGCTGCCCACACTGAGGGACTTGGCTGGGTGGTAAGGAACCAAGGGAGAAGAAAATGATATAAGCCAATCCATCGTATAGCAACTATGAAGGCCAAGTCCACCTGCCAGCTCCCTTACATCTGCCAAGTGCTATGCAGGCCTTCTCGATGACGGGGGAACTGAGGCATCCCATGGGGTCAGAGTCAGGGCCAAATTCATTCTAGGTTGAGGTAGAGATGGGATTAAAGCACTTACGTCGGAGGATCTCCCGTTGCTTCCGGACGTACCAGGTGTACAGGGCAGCACGCTTCTGGGTCTTCATAGGGGTGCCTTTGTTGAGATGCTGGGAGAGGTGTGACTGGTTCAGGCCGGTGACATCGACCACCTCCCTCTGCGGGATGTTGTGTTGTTGCATGTACCCCTTGATCATTTTGGCAGCCCTCCAAGGGTCCTCGCTAGACAGATAAGCAAGGGGTTAGGATGCTGGTAGAAGAAGTCTGGGAGAAACATTCTCTTCCTAGGGGTTTTACCAAAACTCTGATCTTCACCTATTTCTCCACCTGCCCAAGCTTCATCCTTGGTAGAGATGTGAGGCCAAAATAGAACTTAAATAAAAGAGGAGATGAAAGTTCCTATGCAGTACACTCCATCCCTTTTGTCTCCAATTAGGAAGGCAAAGAGGAAGATGACATGCCACCCGCAGGAGTGGGAAAATACTACCAGCATGAGCTCTCATTAAGCAGAAAGAAAAGTTCCAGTTTCATTTTGCTTTCCTTCATTTTCCTGGAATGTGAAAAACTAAAAGGCAAGAGGTCCTCTGGAAAGTGGAGATGCCATTCGCTTGGGGCTGGGCTGGCTGATCTACAATGATAGGGGGCAGTGTCGGTTTCTAAATTCACCTAGACCTCTCCCACATCATTTTCCTTCTGGATGGGTGTCTCAGTTTGTCTTACAAAATTGGAATAGAACATTTGTGTCCACCTCCTGAGAAGAAAGGAGAACATCTTAGCAAATGTCAGTTTTTAGAGCTTTAAAAAAGTTTTAAGAAATGCAATGATGTTCTTCCCTGGAACTAAAGAATCACTTCACTGAGGTGAGGCAAGTTAAAAAAAAATTTTTTTTCCATAGCCCCGCCTCCCCAATAAAACCTAATGGGGATGGATAATTTCAGTTTCTGAATAAGATATTAACAATCCCAAATGCCATGTTTTCCTCTATTCTTACTATTCTTCTCTGATATGGCAAGAGTATCTGGAAGGCAATGTTTCTCATACATTTCAAGCTTGGAATGAGAACTTGCTTATACTTTTTATTTCTCATAAACACAGGAATACAGAAAGCTTCTTTAGAGCAATGTATTAGTACCTTTGAATTTTATTTATTTAAAATGTTTATAACTTTGCCAATATCTTTGCTTGCTTATTGAATTGGTGACTTAAAAGTGAGGTACATAATTTAAAACAGGAAATTAAGAAAATAGTGCACAGTATAGAACAAATGTATTAAAGAAGTAATACATCCACATATACTATTTGTTTAATGCAGCTACATATTTAACTTAAAGAAAACCCCAGCATCCCTTTAGCTATGTTGATGTGTACAACAGCCTGATAGAACACGAAAAATTATATCAGATGAAACAATAAAAAATTATATAAAGCAGAGGCCAAAACAGATAGTGTTGCAAATGAAATTATCAATTTATTTCTAAATGGTGTCTGTGTCCAGTAAAATTAATTTTGCTTAATGAATCCAAAAATCTAGTAATTAAACCGAGATTTCTGTAAGCATTTACATTGTGTTTATTTTAGCAAGTCTTTGATATTAAATTCGAGAGAACACGGGCTTGGACAGAGATGTTCTTGAGAAGTGCAAACTTTTAAGATTAATTATGTATAAATCAACACATTTCTCATGTATTTGTAAAGGTACTTCCAAGTAATACAACATAATAAAGTAACAAAAAGAAAAACGAGAAAATGTGTTCTAAACATGGAGAACTCACCTTGAGTAAGAGAAAAATAATGTTAACACTTTGGACATAACCCTGTAAACATCAGCAATCATTTAAAAGCTTATTTCTAGCAAATATATCCACAGTTACTTTTAGGGTGAAAGAACACTTTCAACGGATATGAACAATAGCTTCGAAAGTTAGAAAACATTTGGATTTTCAAGGTTAATTGCTTTAACAGAGTCTGACTATTTCTGTTGTGTTTAAATTTCTTTACCTGTGTTCATTTTGTGTCTAACAAACTAGCAAAATAGTGTGTTGTTCAAAGAACGAATGGTTCTGTGGGAAGAGTGAATTAGCTTAATTGGAAAGGTTAAAAAAAAAAGCCGAGGGAAACTATAAACTGTAGCAAAGCTTTTAACCCGCATTAAAGGACTGGAGTTGGGGGTAAGATGGCGTAGTTATACCTTTAGAACTCTTATCTCAGAATTCACCCGCATTCGGGAAGAGCCTAGAGACCTGGTTACGATTTTAAATTTGAAAATATAGCTTCCTTCAGAGGCTTCCAACCCGGGTAAATAGACGGATCCGCAGGAACGCGCGCGGCCATTGTGCTCAGAGCGCAGGTGTCAAACGCCGGACCCCCATGCCGGCACAGGCCCAGCACAATCCTTTTCAGACAATGACTTGGCTGCCCCCGAGCAGCAAAGCCCCGGACCCCGGCACAGTTCGCCGCGCGTGGGTTGAGAACCTTAACTTCGGCTTCTTAGGGGGCAGCCAACTTTCCAAATGCCACCGGCGCGCCAGCCTGGAGGCCGGCTCCCACCCAGTTACCGACCTGCCTTTCTCGCATTTCCCTTCCCGGAGGTATAAAGAGCGCCCGGCCGCTCCAAAAAGTGACTTTCTTGTTCTTTTCTTTCCGCCTTAGGGGAACAGGGTGGGCAAAAGGGGGAATGCGTTGTGTCTGGCGCCCAGGAACCGACTGCGCAGTGACCTGGGAACCTCTACCAATTTCTTGAAAAATTACTTTAATTAAGTCCGATCGCTCCCGAAGGTGGAGGAGGGAAGGCAGCACCCGCCTGGGAGAGGGAGAAAAACTTCGGGGTCTGTCCGGCGTCCCCACCCCAGCGAGGTCTCGGGCCTCTAGCCTCCCGCCCCGCCCCTTTGGAGCAGGGTGCTTTGCAGGGGGGAGAGAGCTGAAGTCGGGGCCCCGGGGCCCGGCCTGCGCACGTCGGCGGCCCTGGGGCTGTGCGGGCTGCTGGGCGCTCCCGCAGCCCGGGTCGGGCGCCGCCGGGGCTCCGGGCCGCGTAGCGGGCTTGGCTGCAGCGCCGTGCGTGTGTTCTGCGAGCGGCAAGCCGCCCCGCGTCTGCGTTTTGATTTCCTTCCCCCTCTAAGTCGCGTTTACAACTTCACCAATGAATAACCCGCCTCTCTTTTCAACCTAATCACGACTCTGTGTATCTTTCTGTTGATGATTTATAGAAATAAATTAATAACACCCTAACTCCACGTGCTACAGTTTATGTTACATCTCTGCTGCGTCCAGCCGGGCGCTGGGCTGGGTGCGGTGGGGTGCCTGGGTTGTCTCTGATTCCCGGATCCTCCAGAACCCGGTTAGAAAGCGGGTGCCTGCGGGCAGGAGGGTATGTCTAGGCCTAGTGGGCCCCCGGGAGGCAGGCGGCAGGAGCTCGGTTAGTCCGCCAGGCCCTGGTCAACCTCCAGGCCTCCCCGGCGCCCCAGCCACTCTTCTTCCGACCCCTCTCACCCTACTGCGCCTGAACCCTGGCCAAGGAGAAACTGCCGCCACGCAGGGAACCCGCGAAGGAAGAACCTCAAACCTATGAATTGCAGCAAAATAATTCTGAGGAAAAGAAATCTAGAAGTCTCCCTGATTGTCTCTGCTAGAGAGTCAGCTGCCGGGTCCCCAGACCGCAAATTCACCTGCAAGGTCATATCCCATCCCAAACTGCAGTTTCGGGCTTGCAACAGTGGCTGCCAGAGTCCGGGACGCGACTCGGTCCTGGACCCTGCCTTGAACTGCGGCCCTGAAGTGTCCGAGGCCACGCGAGGGGCTCTGTCCTAAGGCGGAGTGGTCGGAGAGACTGGCGGTCTAAGGGAACCGCTCGGCTCCTTGGATAATTAGTAACCAGCTGTCAAAGCCCTAGGCCGGTCGGCGAGGCCCAGCGAACGATCCTAGATCGGGTGATAGACTGTCCATCAGCCTGCCTGAATTCCCCGGGGACCCCGAGGTATCCACGGCGAGATTCGCAAACAACCTCCTTTCTCAGACTGTGACCAAATCCTTTGCCAATTAGGGTCTTAGCCGCATTTGCCCCTCGCTTGCTTAGATACGTAGTTTCTTTTGCTCCGTGCGGGTCCACCCTGACCCTAAAACATGCAAATACTACTTTTGCAAAACTAAACGGCTTTGGGGATTCCGGGTAATCCTAGGGCCTTGCATGGGCTCTGCAGATGGGAGTGCCCACCAGAGAACTCGCCTCCCAGATCCCGGCCCCGGGTGCCGCCAGTCCCTCTGCAAAGAACAGCAGGACGTGGTGCCCGAGACCGGCCTGTGTTTTCCCGGACTGGAGAAGCGGCGCCCAGGAGAAAAGCTTGGCCCGGGATTTGTGCGGGCCCAAGCCTCTGTTCCAGGGAAATCGCCACTGGTTCAGTGCACCCACTTGCACCTTCACTCGCGTGGGCACACCTCCGGCAAAGGGCTCCGCAGCTCGGGTGCTCCCAGGCTGAGCCGCAATCCGACCCGGAGGGCCCCTTGGGTCCAGGGCGCTGGCCTGGACAGGGGGAGATGAAGCCTCAGGGCTCCGGGGACCGGGAGGGGTCCAGGTGCTGGGAGAGAAACTGAGCGCCCCCCGAGGGACTTCTCTGGTGGGAAACAGGCTCGGCGAGAGTGGTCCGGCGCAGTGTTGCTCAGGCACAAGGCCCGGGGCTCCAGGGGCTCGGGCGTGTACTCCACACCTTGGTCCGCGCCTACCTGAGCATCCGGTCCACCTCCGCCCTCTGCTCCGCCGCCTCCTCGGTGTTGAGAGCCTGCAGCTCCTTGAGGATGGGAGGGGTGTCATAGTCGTCCCCGTCCTCGGAGCCCTCGTCCCCGGACAAGCGACCCTTGGCGTGACCGTTGGTGAGAGTATGGAAGACCGGCTTGGTGTCGGGCTCGGCAGCGCTCCCGGGGGACAGGGGCAGAGTCTCCAGCTTCACCCCGAAACTCGGGGATGGTAGCAACTCCTCCAAGGCCTGGACCAGCACCTCCTTGGTGACCCCGGAGCTCAGCAGGGCGCTCAGGAGTTCTTGCTGGAGCGACGTGAGCTTGGACACCATTTTCCAAGGACAGAAAAAGAAGGGAGTGAGGGGGTGGGTGGGTGCGAGAGAGGAGGGTGGAGGGGAGTTTCAAAATCGAACCCCAAGTCCAGGAACCCCCCCACCCTTCAACTTCCAGACACCTGTTACTCCCCGGGGTCCCGGAGTCTCCTCCGAGAGGAGTCAGAAAACTTCTAACTTGCCATGATCGCCACCATTAGGCCATATAAGATATGCAAATTAGTGGGGAGGGCCTGGCTATCGGCAAGATGCAAATTGTTGTGGGGAGAGGGGAAAGCTAAGGGAGAGAGAGTGAGCTGGAGGAGCAGATGTGGAGAGCTGGAGACCCGGGCGGGGAGCAGGGCTTACCAGGGTCCATTGTACTCACGCTGGGGGGGGCCGAAGATCTTCTTGTACTGGTTCTGTTTATCACCCAAACTTTGGCTGACCTTTGGACTTGTTAAGCAAGTAGCTTGCAGCCTAGCGTGGAGGGCTCCGGGTCTGTTCCACCGGCTGTGGGTCTGGTTTTAGTCTGGAGAGAAGAAATTGCACTTCTGGGGTTCAGGTGAGAACTGGAAAAAGTTGGGGTGCTATTGGAGAAAGGAGGTGGAGGAGGATACGAAGAGGAGAGCCTCCGAGGCGTCCTAACCGACGCAGGTGGTGGGCAGAGAGAGCCCGCAGGGGCGGAAGAGACATGGACCACTAGGAAATGCACGCCAGGGCCTGGGGAAAGGGGTCATTAGGCGGGTGAGTTCGGATTGCAGGGACCCCAATGAATTCTACCTGGGTTACCGCCCTGCAGGCCCCAATGCCTCAACAGCCGGGCCTGGAGGTTTGGATTTGAGAACTGCCAGCTCGCAGGGCGTAGGCAAGCGGGAAGGAGGCCGGGAGAGCCCGTGGGAGGAGGCGCGACTAATTTATGGCCGGAGGGAGTAGCCAAAGTTGAGCTCCCCAGCTGGGCTGCACCAGCACCCAGCCCGGCCAGGCCGCGGGGACCTGCCGCCTGGGCCACGCTCTCCAATTTAAACCCGGAATATCAAAGCACCTCTGCTTTGGGGACAAAACTAGAATGGCGGGGCCCCTTTTCTGGCGGTGAAAGCAGAGCTTGCCTGCAGCAGCGTGGACAGTTGGAGCCGCGGCCCCGGGCCCACTGATTTCTGGTTTATTGGCAGCTCCAGGCCACAGCGGTTCCCCGGGCCAGGGACGGTGCTCGGCAGCCGCGAGGTCACGGCGGCAGTAACGGGAGGAGGCGCAAGTTGAGAAGCAGCCAACAAAGCCGCTGAGGGAAAGAAGTGTTTTTCCACCCCTCCAGGGCAAGGAAGGGCGCGGGGAAGCTTTCCGCACTATCAGAGTTTCAACTGCGTCTCCCCGGGGTGCCCAGGGGAAAGGCAGGAGGCTTGGGGCGCCCCTAGACCTACAGGCTGAACCCGACCAATAGGACAGGGCAAGGGGCTTTTCCGGATCCACTACTGGCAGACCCGTAGCTCCTGGGGCAGAGGGCAGCCCCGCCCCCACTGCAAGCCTCAGTTTCCTCACCTGTGAAATACTATGCCTACAGCGCAGGGGGGGTGTTGTATGCATTAAATGAGACCACCTGAGAAACCCCTTGCTCTGGTGACAGAGTTCACACCGTTTAGTCCGGAGAGGCAGCAAGCAAACCAGTAATCAAAGCTAGCACCACTGGAGGCTTAGGGTTCTCAGAATCAAGAGGACCTAGCCCTGGAGTTGGAGGGACTTAGAGATTAGGGACAAAACTTGAGAATCAGCAGGGAATTTGCAAAGGAACTTCTAAGCAAATTTTCCTACCTTTCCCACCTTTAAAGGATAAGTAAAAGGAAGCTGGGGTTAGTTTGGGAAAGGAATTTCAGAGTGGGGGAGGAAGGGTTAGCAGCTCTCATCTGCTTGGTTGGGGATCAAATCCCCTCGGTGCATGGAGGCTGAAACCCCACATGTGGCTGATCCAGGTTAGACTGCTAAGGAGCTAGGCTGCCTCTTTTCAATTGGGGGTCTGCTACCGATACTTGGGCTCCCTGCCCTGGGAGCCAGAAAGAAGCAGGGTTGGTTGTGTGTATGGAGCCCTGGTGGAGACTTATACTATCTCAGTCTCTCATTCCCTGAGAAAAGGGTAGTAAATTCATGAAAAAGAGGGCCCTTCATGTCATCTTACTGTCTTCTAGTCCTTGCCCCTCATAGCTCAGCCCAACCAACGGGAGAACATTCTCAGCCTAGCCACCTCCCCGCAACCAGGATAATGAAGTGTTAGAAGTAAATCTTCCTGGAGAACAATCTTTTTCTCTGTCTCTCACTTGCTATCATGAGAGAAGCAGTCAAGTGCAACGCTGATCAGTTTCTGTGTCTAGCTGGGAAAACCCATTAAAAAACCAGCAATCACTTCCCTTTTAACAACAAAGCTTTGATTTGTGGTTTCAACTACTATGTGTCCAGTCTGACTCTCTGCTTCCTTATTCCTCAAAACTGAGGTGTTAGTAAACTTAATCTCCCCGCACCCCGAGCCAACTATGTGAATGTACAGCAAGTCTCACAGAGTACAGGGCAGCTTCCTGTGAATGACCAGAACCGTCTTCCAGCAACTTCCTGTAATCCTCCTGCCCAAATCTACCTTGTGTGTGCCACCTGGTATAATGTGTTCACCAAGCAGCTGCAACTACAGATCTGTGAACAGATCCACTACCTACCCCTCCCAGTAGAAATTTAAAAAGAAAAGTGTAGGTACCCCAGTAGATAGGATGTGGGTCCTAAATGCCAAATTAGTTACCTCACAAAACCCTTCGGTTAAACTTCCCTCAAACAGAGGAAGCCAAGTACAGTTGAAATACTCTTTATGCTTCACATAGGATGGTATGGGGATGAACTGATTTAGTAGCCCCATTTTAAGGAGGAGAAAATGAGACATTGTGAGGAGGATGCTTAGAGCCCCTGAAGTACGTTAACAGAAGGACTGAGACTGGGGCTCAGGACTTTTGAGCAGGACTTTAGGATGAAAGAGAAAGGTGCCTGTTCTTACTGTTTCAGGAGATGGGAAGTTGAAAGGGGTTTGTATGAAGGAGAACTGGAGGATCCACAGCAGAAAATAAAGGGTAGATGTTGGAATCAAACAGACCTAAATTTGGGTCTCAGATCCATATAACCAGTGGTGCCACCTAGGCATGTTACATAATTTTCTGATCCTCAGGTCCCTTATGTGGAAAATGATAATACTCTACTGTGTTTTTGTGAGTTAGTAATTGCAGGTCCTGGAGTATGACAGGCTCTCACTTGTTTAGAAAGAAACAGCACATCATGAAAATATGCAAAGGAGTGAGGCAGCTCATCTCTTTGGGCTCTTTTATTCTTATTCCCAGTTTCTTCAAGAGATACACGGAATTTGAAAAGACTGTATAAGGTTCTTCCACTCAATAAGTCTGCAGTTCAAATTCCAAGATTGTCTATGGGAAATGCAGTTCCTGGTGTAAGGCCATTTAAAATCCGATGCGCTCATCATTCTATAAAGGTTTTCTGAACATCCTCTTGGCAATTTCACAGAATAGCTAATACGGTTCTTGTGGGCTCACCTCTCCTGTAACTCCTCAGCCTAAGTGATAGTCCGTTTCTGCTCTTGTGCGCAGCCTTCCCTCTATGTGCCATGGTCTCCCTGCTTTGCCTACAGCAGGGACAGCTCGGTTCTCTCCGTCCTCTGCTTCCCCACTTTCTGAGGTTTTCCCATTGATCTGGCAAGGCTCTAGAAGGTCTCAGAATGAAATTGTCTCTAGAGTGAAGCACAAATACCACCCTCTCTTGGTCTGAAGGAGGTTGGGAGCCTTATCGTTTCAGAGCACATGCTAGACGGTGATGTTAGGAGCCTGAGGTTCCAACTGTGGATACAACACTCCTTTCTGGTGACTCTTCGCCTTCCGAAAGGCTCTGATGAGCCCCTTTCTCTGGACTTATGATTCTGCTTTTGAAAAATGGCCAGTTGGTGATGACCATTTAACTATTCTAACTTTTCTGTGATTTGAAACTCCCAAAGAGCCCTAAATTACCAGGGTCTTCAGGCAGATGGTGCAAGAGCTCAGATCACCCTTGTGTAGTGCTGGCCACGGGGCTCTTGACCTGCAACAAAACACAGCACAGTTAGCTCCACTAGGGCAGACACCATCTCATGTCTTACCTCCGGTGCCTGGACAAGTGCCTGACACATAGCAGATGCTCAACAAAACACCTGACGCATGAAGGAAGGAGCGATCATCTCCCTAAGGATGATTGTTGTTTCCTTATTTGTACTTCTCCCTTTTCCAAGTTGTCAGCAATGGAGTTGTGGTTTAAAAAGAAATGCCTTTCTCAGACACGAAAAGTATGTGCCATGTGATCCCATTTTATGAACTTAAAAAATGGGAAAAACTGACCCATGGTGATATAGATTCAAATGGAGGTCACTTCTGGGGATGTGTTCACAGGGATGGGTGATGAGGGAGCTTTCTGGGGTGCTAGAGAAATTCTATGTGTTGATCGGGATACCAGGCACTTTCTCAGACTACACACTGAGGATTTATGCATGTTGCTGTTAAGTTATAACTTTGTAAAAAGTAAATTTCATAAATAATTCCCATCTGTAAAATGTAAACAGTAGAAGTCACCTCCTTACTGCACCCCGCCCCCGCCCCCTCAGTGTTTCCATCTGATGTGTGGCCCTCCAGCTGCTTTTCCAGTCATGATGTATAGTTTATCACCATTAAAACTATAGAGTGGTATATTCCAGGGGCTGGCAAACTTTCTATAAAGGGCCAGACAGTAATATTTTAGGCTTTGTGGGCTATCCAGTTTCTGTCACAACTACTCAACTTGGCTGTTATAGATTGTGCATAAATATGTGTGGCTGATAGAACTCTGTTTATGAAATCAAAGGGCTGGCTGGATTTGTCAACCCCTGGACAAAGCACTTATATAGGTAGAGATCCATAGAGCTTAGAGTCATCCCAGTTTCTTTCTTCATCCTGGGGATGAGAAAGCAGAAAACAGATTCAGGGAGGAGAAATGACTTTGCCAAGAGGTACAGCACAGAGCACTAGGGAAATCCTGGTTTTGGAGCCAAATGGACCAGCTGCTTTCTTGGTATGTGTGGGGGGTGGGGCTTTGGGCAAGTTATACATAAATGGTGGTAATAATGGGATTTATGCCTCATAGGGTTAATGGAAGAACTAAGTGAAGTAACAGAAAAACACCTTGTATGGGGGCTGGCATAAGCAGAGCTTGGTTTGAAATCAAGTGCTTTGTCAGCCATAGCACATGGCTCAGGGACTCCCTCCCTGCAGCCTTCCGTCCCTCCCTCCCTGCCTTCCTTCTAGAATACACAGCCTCTGGGTAAGTTCACAAACATTACCAAGTGTCTCCTACATGTGAAGTCCTCTGGGGAGAGCTCTGAGCTAATAACAAATGAATACGGAAAGATCTCAGATCCTACCAGCCCTCAGTGTCCTTCCTAGAAATCCTTTCCAGCTCTGGGCTTTTATTTTCCAAACATGCTGCTATCAGATGATCTTTGCCAGGGAAACTGCTAAGGGCAGAGATTTCTCTCATTTTGAATCAACAACCTACATCCTTCTGCTGGGTCGTTTTTAGAAATAGGGTGTTCCTGGTAGCTTGTAAAAGATTAAAAACTAGCAACCTAGTGTGATATTAAACTAATACTATACCTAGCATAGAGAGCCTTCACTCTTGAGCAAGAATCTGTTCCTCCTACTACTACAACCATGAAAAGTGGATTGGCAGTGGGCCCAGCACACAACAGGTGCTCCATAAATGTTTATTGGATAAACCACATGGGTTAGGCTATGGTATTTAGAAAAAAACGAAAAGCAGTAATCTTCACTGAACTTTCTTGGAATTTGTTTTCAAATTAATACGCAAGTGTTAGCCAGGTGCCTGTGCTACATTCTCTCAGTAATTCCTCCCCACAAACCTGTGGAGGGAGCACTGTCATCACCACTTTAAGGATGTGGAAACGGAGCCACCGAAAAGGTGAGGCCTGGCCTGGGGATTGCCACATGGTTCTCCTGTGGAACCCTGGACCCGAACCGAGGACCTCCTGACCCCGTAGGAGGTGCCTCCCTTCCAGCTCTTTTGCGTCTTCCAAGCCCTTTATCCACCCAGACAGAGGGGAGAGCACATTGAAACCCTGAACAGTCCCTGCACGGACAGAGATCTTGTGATTGTGTAAGAGAGATCAAAGTCTTTCTTGTCTAAGAACATACCTGCCACATAAGGAATTACAATATTTGTACAGTGCTTTATGGTGTGCAAAGAGCTTTCTGTTTTCATTTGATCCTTCAAAATAGTCCCACAAGGAAGGCAAGGTAGATATTACCATTCACATTTCACAGATGAGGAAACTGAGGCTAAGAGAAAAAATGACCACTAGGAGATGCCAGAACCACCGTCCACTGACCTGAGTCTTCTGAATGTAGGCTTCACAACACTGTGCTTTATATGACAAGATACGCACAAAGTGCAGCCACAGAACAGACACAAGACCAAGGAATAAGACACAGTGAGAGACCCCATTTCCACTTCCCATGCCATGCTTGAGTGGTGGAAAAGCTGAAAGGAGCCAGGAAAGGCGCTGGGTCCAGCCTATGAGTCAGGAACCACTACCCACTTGGTGGTACCCTGTGGTTCCCCACCTACACCTCCTCTCCTCCCACTCCTGCTCTGCCTGCTTGTGTCTGGTCAGGAGTGTTGTCCATAACACGTGCCTTGGGCATGACAGTGGCCACTGGGCCTCACATTAAGGGATGTATCCTTTAACGCTCTGGTCACTAGATACAGGCCCTGCTTCCAGGCCTGGGGTGAAGCCAGGGCTGCTGTGGTAGGTGTTCAGCTGTTGAGATAAACAAGATTCAATTCCTGCTCTAAAGGAGCAAAAGGTTATATAGTGGGAGTGATAGACATGCATACACTTCATTTGTACTGCTAATGAGAATGGAGCAGAATTTACAATAAATACTGTGCTGAGTGCTTTACATAAAGCATCTCATTTACTCCTCATAACAGCCCCATGATACAGTATTATTCCTATTTCTCATTTTTTTAACTGATGCTTGGAGAGCTGGAGTTGAAGAAAGCCTGTTGCTTTCACTGTGTTGAAATTCAACATCACTGTCTGGCTTCAAACATTTTCTGCGCTAGCCAAGGGGCAGATGCAATAGGGGAATCAGAGTGGGGCTAGGAGTCAGGCTGATCTGTGTTTGAAATCTGTCTTTGTCACTCCTTAGCTGTAACCTTGGGCAAAGTGCCACTCTGACCCTCAGTTTCTTCACCTTTAAAAAGAAAAACGGTGTAGAATTTGGCAGGAAAGAAAACATGTGTGAACTGCTTGGCACAATCAATGAATAGAAGCAAATGCTAATGAAGAGGGA